CAGTCAACATCAGGTTTAGCATTCCCTGCTATGTTGCAGAGCTGTAGAGGGGAGGCAGAAAACTTATTACACTCTGGCCTCTGTTCCTGCTGCTAGGCTTTTTTGCTGTATGATGAAAAAATGCCGCAGGCATACCAAGATGACAACATGTAGCCAGTATTAGAAACAGCCCCGGCAGACAAGAATGACAGCTGGCAAAGAAGTCCTGTACAAAACACATGGTCAAATTGGATCATAATGTACAGATATCTTGAAAGCTCTTCCTCATATTTAATGTATACACCTGTCAAACAAAAATATGAAATGACATTCAGTGGAACAGTCCGTCCGATGCTTTCTATAGCCATGTTCAGGCATTTTTAGTTCTCCCACAATTACAACGGCATAAGGCAAAAATCAGGATGCAGAAGCTGACTCAACCTAGCCTTCTGGCCCTGTGATTCTCCACACACTGGATGGTGAAGGTTTGCCACAGGGTTTGCCACCAGGTAGGTAAGCTCCCCATGCAATTTAGAGCCCTGGACATTTCGAACCACACCAGAACCTACTTCATCAGAAGCAATTATTATTACAATAAACATTGTTATTGTTTTCCTCCAGCAGATTAATATGGCTAGCCCTCTGCAGGTTGCTACCATGGAATAATATTATTCCAAACCAAAACCAGAGTTCAGAGATGGGAAAAGCTAATTATTTTTTTTACTGCAGTTCCCAGAATCCCCCAGGCAGCATGCCCACTGGCTTTTCTCATAGTGTAGAGATTTAAGACGGTTCACAAAGGGTGAAAAAAAAGCAGACCTAACTAAAAACACAGCAGCCAGAATCCTATTATTTATATCGATTAGCATAAACCCAATGGCATAAGTTGCAGTTGCAGATTGCTGCTAGTAAAGGAGTTGCTGGTTCTTTTCCTTATCATGTAACTGTAACCCTCTAACTAGTGTGGATTTGCCTGACAAAACAGTTTTGTTGTTGTTTAATAACCCTCTAACTAGTGTGGATTTGCCTGATACACAACAGTTTTGTTGTTGTTTAGTCTTTAAGTCATGTCCGACTCTTCGTGACCCCATGGACAAGAGCACGCCAGGCCCTCTTGTCTTCCACTGCCTCCCGGAGTTGGGTCAAATTCATGTTGGTACCTTCGATGACACTGTCCAACCATCTCATCTTCTGTCCAACCACCTCATCCATCTTTTCCTCTTGCCTTCACATTTTCCCAACATCAGGGCCTTTTCCAGGGTGTCTTCTCTTCTCATGAGATGGCCAAAGTATTGGAGCCTCACCTTCAGGATCTGTCCTTCCAGTGAACACTCAGGGTTGATTTCTTTCAAAATGGATAGGTTGGATCTCCTTGCAGTCCAGGGGACTCTCAAGAGCCTCCTCCAGCACCACAATTCAAAAGCATAAATTCTTCAGGGGTCAGCGTTCACCACAATTCCAGGTCTCACTTCCATACATCACTACTGGAAAACCATAGCTTTGACTATGTGGACCTTTGTTGGCAAGGTGATGTCTCTGCTTTTCAAGATGTTGTCTAGGTTTGACTGACAAACATCTAAGACACAAGGCAACAAATTTAGAGCATTTGATTTTGGGTAGGAAATGATCCATCCAAGTTTCACCTTTGAATTTGAATTTCTGTGCTGCCGTAAATGTTCTTCACTGTTTCATATTTGCAGATGCCAGTTTCAGATCTAACCTGAACAGGCACAAGGAGAACTGAAAGCAGATATTCGCCTTCCTGGCTCCTCCTATTAATTATTTTTGTTGCTTATGTTGATGCACAATTTTATCAGCCTTATTTTTATGTTTGTTGTGGGTTTTTTGGGCTCTTATTCTTATGTCTTATTTTATATCCTTGTACCTTTAAGAATTTTCCACTTCCCTTCAGATGCAGAAGCCACAAGAAGAGCTAAGCCTATAGTGGCAGAGCATGTCCTTGGCATCTCCTTAATTCAGCCCCTTAGCCTTTCTAGGAAGGGCCAAGGATAATGGTTTGTCCCACTTCCTGGAGAGCTCCTGCTTCTGGATAATATAGAGCAGGAGAAAGTAATAGTCTGACTTAGTTCAATGCTCTGTGAGTAGGAATCACTCACATTTATTTATGTTTGCCATTCCTTAGCTTAATCCTCATAATCAAATCTGTGAATTATCCCCATGGAAGAGCGTTGACTCTGAGTTGGCATATGGTTATTTGAAAGTGTTATTTATGTCCTGAATTTGTGTGGACTGATTTTCATATGGAAGTTACGACTTGTTGCTGTAGTCCATGAAGTATGGAGATATATATACATATCAACTGGATTGTGAAATAGCAGAAACAAGGAAATAGTGTGCTGTGTGCCATCTGGAATATATGGCTTTTGTGGATGCACTCCCTGTTGCACTCAAATCAGCCACTTCCCCCACTAGCCAGTTCCTTTTCAAGGACCCTTAACATTCTCTCCTAGTCATGCTTATCCTAATTTGCTCCTCTCCTAAGATAATTAGTCTCACATCTGGCTGCTTACTATCATGATACTTGGGTAATTTTCCATATGCCTAGTTCTAAGCCTCTCCAGTACATCTATTTCCCCCCTCCAGTCTTTCAACAGCTCTTTTTGTTCTGCTTTTAGTTTCTATCTCATCTTCTTTCTCTGAGTGTTTTTCCCCCTAAGAATCCCATGCATTACTCTTGAAAAATGTCTTTTGGATGCTTCCTCAGAATTAATTTGTTTGCCCTTCTAGGTATTTTTAATAGGAAATTAGAATATGCAATTTGCATAAGAACAGCCAGAATTAATACCACTATTCCAAGTGTACCCTGGAACAAAATGTTGCAGTGTACACTGCTCACCTGGAACACCCAACATTTCCTTGCATTTTCTGACCCATTTTCATTTCCAAACTCTTAGTCAGAAAGCGTTTTGTTCTCACTGAGTAGGTTCATTCCTCATTGGGCTGTTTGGAGAGGTGGAGCAGTGGTCACCCACAGAGAACAGTGTGTAGATTTTTCACCATTAATCCCAGAGGGCATATTTGTCATTACATCCTTCAAAAATGTCTTTAATCTAGATTTTCATTGGAAATTGTGTTACTCTTTGATATTTGACTGTGGTCTCCAATAAAGGTAACCATAAGCATCATATTTGGTAAATGACTTTTTGCAACCTTCACAACAGAACAGGTGTATTTTCTGGGGATTATTATATTATTCTTATTATAAACTTAAACCATATGTAGCTTTTTTCCTTGTATATTTTGTCAAGGGACCACATGATTGCCAAATTTTGGTAGACAAGACCCAGAATATTTCTATTTGAAATATGAAACATTGTGATATGCCTGCTTCTGAAGATGTTAACTTCTTTGTTATTGTTGTTGTTGTTAGCTTGTAACTTGAGGCAGTGCATTAGGGTTGTGAAAATATTTGAGTACTTAATTTTTTTGTGTCTCCTTGAATCTTACTTGCCTTGTTTTCCTTTCCTGTTTTTATTTGTAGTGAAACTTTATTTTTTTAATATTAAAATTTTTCAACATTTTCTATAGTGTGTGCATTTATTGATCCACTTTACCAAATTTATACATTCCTCTGCATAACTAAAGTTTGTTCATATGTATATTTTTCAAGTTATATGTGTTTTAGTTGTTTGTATTTTAAAAGCTGTACACTGTTTTCATTTTAAAACACCCCATAAGGCTTGGGAATGATTTAAATTCTCAAGGCCAGGTGTGTTTCTTCTCACAATGAGCCTCAGGAGGTGTGGAAATAATACTTTCAGTGAGATGGTTGAATTCAACAAAATTATTTCCCATACTTCTTCGGGACACATACCTTAAAATTCCCTGATGTTCAGTGAATGAGGCAGCAATGACTCTTCCTGTTCATTGCCTCTAAGGTAGGATTGTACCTTCCCTCCCTCCCTGTGACTGCTGGGGAGTAGTTCAGTTGACAAAAAAAGAGAAGAAGTTAGGAATGGATAACAGAAGAATCAAAGTACAGTCAAAAGATGGAGAAGCCAGATAGCCCAGATTCACCATTGATATATGACACATTTTCCCTATCAGTAAGGCTCAAAACTCTCATTCTGAAGTAGCCCTGCTGAAATGCAAGGATTTACTTCAGAACTATTGGTTTCAGGACTGAAATGTGGTAGAACAACAAATTGAAGTCCCATTATCCTTCACTATTCACTAAGTTGGCCAGGGCTGCTGGGAATTGCAGTTCAACAACATCTGGAGATCCACCTGTTCTCTCATCTCATTATTCTTAGAAGTTGGTCAGTGTGTGAATTTTAGCAGAGGAACAGGGTAAAGAACTGCTTAAATGTTTCTGCTCTGACCATTCTCATCCCATACTCAGAATATCCTCCAGGGGTATTTTAAGCACGAGTGGGGTTAAGCTGAAAAGCATAGTGATATTCTTCTGATTGAATACCCTGAGGCTGCTTTGGTTGAAAGCTGAGAAAGTGATATGTTTAAAGGGATGCAATCTCTAGTTTGGGCTTTAGTCTATTCAGTCTGGATCAGTTTTTTAAACATTTACACTTAACATGTGAAGGGTTTTGCCCATTAGTCACAGTAAATATTTCTTCTCCCAGCTGCGGCCACTGTCATTGACTGAGCGGAAGGTAGGCAGGTAATCGATCCTCAGCCATCTTAAGTTTTATTCTTCAAGCTTTGATCTTTCTCACAGCAGATAAGACTTCACTGTCTACAGAGAGCGTCCATGCTCACAATGAGACCCGCATTCCAAGCAGAGAGCTCTTCATTAATGCAGCCAGCATTTCCTTGAACGCCACGCATGGAGGATTCTGTTGTAAGATTTATTGAATGTAACATTTTATTAAGAAGACTGTATAAAACTGACTTGTGGAAGGAAGGCTAGAATGATTTTGCTTTAGTCTTCTATGTTTATGTTCCTTCTGTGGCATGAACGTGTCCTTCTGAACAGATAGAGATGACCTCTGTAAGCTCTCCTTTACTCCATAACTTCTAAGTGACACAATCTTTGCACTTAGGCTAAGGAATATGAGATGGAAAAAAATTACCTACCTAATTTTAGCAACACTGCAAGTATGCTCTTAGATAATTCAATGGTCCCAGTATTAGATTTCTTTGTTTTATCTTTTTCTTCTGTTCTGGCCTAAGCAGGGAGGGAACACTTTCTCAATGGCCATAATAAATACCCTGAGCTGAAAATGACTTTTCCTCCTGATGGTACTCAATATAGTGCAGCTGATCTCAAGAAACACAGGCTGGTTCTTCTCCTGGGAGGTGTAGTGGACGATCAAACTTCCAGCTCCAGCTCCAAACTACTGAGTTGTCCAGCTAGCTGTCTGGCATAATTCAAAATGCTGGTTTTAACCTATAAGGCCCTAAATGGCTTGGGTTCCAGCTATCTCAAGGACCTTTATGAGCTTGCCCGGATGTT